TCTGTGATTCTGTGATTCTGTGAAAAGATAAAATATTGGTCAATTTTTAACATTGCAAAATGGGAAACAGTTTTCATTTACTTCATGACTCCTCTTTTTTTCTGAGACAAATACTACCTTTTCAGTTGGACAGAAGATCAAAATGGTGTAATTCCTAATTAAACTGACACACAGTTGAACTAAAGGATAATAAATTAAAATGCATTAATATCCTTTAAAGAATTTACATAATTAAGGGGAAATAAGCAGAGCAGGATGTCCTCAGGGTTGTTTTCTCCACATCGGCCCGATCTTACAAATGCCTATTTCATGCACTGAAGTAGAATTACATGTATGAGTATTTATTTTCACCTTAATGGTACTTTACATTTGTGAAAAATTACTTCTTCATGTTTTCAGAATCTCCATTTTGCATATTTGCACATTAAAATGTCCTAATTTCTAAGCCCAAATTAGAGAAAGTATATACCAAAAAGCATCATTTCATCATCCCAGGAATATCATTCTGTTTTTTACCGATTATTCAATTGAAATTGGTAACTTTCTGATTAGCACAGTGACTGTGTAGTGACCAAATGCTTTCTCTCTTCCTTCAGCTTCAGCAGATCTGCAGCCTGAGGCTTAGCTGCTTGAGGCTGGTGCTCCTGAGCTGTAACACAAAGTTAATGACCGATGGCTAGCTAAGATACAGTATTAAAAGACACTATAAATTAACAAAGTTTTGTGGAATGATCACAAGATAAAAACCTTGGCCTGCTGGGAAGCCTCTTGGAGGCACATATCTATTATTGGGCAGTTTCAAAAATAAAAAGCATCACCTGCAGCAATCAGGGATCATTGACATTTGCTGTGCTTCTAGAAAGGAAGGAGCTGCAAAGCCAAAATGTGAAGTGAATGAAAGAAGATACACAGAGTTATGTTTGCAATATAGAATTACTACTCTTATTTATACCTAACTTACACTTTGTATGCATGAAACAGAATAACCTGTGAGGATTTAAAAGTACAAAGGGTTTGCATTTGTGTCCCTTACTGTTAACAGAAGAAATTGATTTCCTTGAGGATGAGGGTTTGAGTTAATATTTCTTATTGGATGCATTAGAAAAATGAGTTTACTGTTTTTCTGAAATGGAGTAAGCCAATTTGGAGATGATTTTACATAACATCTTTTTGTCTCCCTACTTATTTATGGAGTAAAGACATTTCTCATTGTGTTCCAATGATATGCCTTCTTTCTGATCAATGGCATTTAAAAGCAGAGAAAGATGAAGGTTTTCAGTCCTAAAATAATAAAATGAGGGTTGAAATTTAGCAGATACTAAGAGCAAAGTTGTATTTCTTGCAACAGGTATCTTGTTCTCTTTTAATAGCAGAAAACCTCAAAGAATGCTTGAAATGTACAATGTGTTGGGAACAGAGAGGCAGTATCTCTGAATAAAGGAAGAAATGAATGGAATAAAAGATTAGGAGAGAGAGAGACAGAGACAACTTGAACACATACATAAAATCCCTTCTGGAGGCCCTTATCTAATTGCCTCATTTATCTAGTTTCATTTATAAGCTCAGTTTTATTCTGGGACACTCTCGGAGGTTGTGTGAGAATGGCTGCAGAATGACCTAACTGGCAACAGGCTTTCTACAGACCCTTTTTTTTTTTTTTTGTATGCCAATTCTCAGGGCAATTACTGCAGTTGCCCTTTATATATTAGCATCTTGGGTGGCTAGGCCTGGGGTTTACTCACTCTTTTTAATAGTATAATTTCTTTTGATAAATAAGCAGCTAGGATTTTTTGTGTCTTTTTTTTTGAGAATACTTCTTTTCCACTGGGACTTCCTATGTACCCATGTGGGCTTAATGCAGATGCTTGCTTTCACATGATATAAAAGATGATTTAAAAATGAAGCAAAACACTTCCCATAAACTATCTCTCTTCTTCTGATCTTCACTTTGGTTACTTACTAGTTTTGACGTTTTGATGGAATGACAAACAGATTTTTTTTTTTTAATAAAAAGAAACTGAAGTATTTTGCTTAGATTTTAAAAGCAGTTTTCTGGGTGCAGGACGGCTGATGAGAGTTTTTTGCCATTGATTTGCATGAGGCCTGGATTTAATTCTTAGCCTTTACTGGACTTTTATTTTCTGATTTCACTAGTAAACTAAATTGTCTTTAAGATCAAAACTCTAATATCATTGTTATCCCTTCTCTATGTGACTATAGCATATATATTTCTGGAGATCTTCAATTTAGGTAGCATCTGTGGTACTTTTTAAGTCTCCAGGAACTAAGCAGTGAGAAAAGAAGTATTGTTGAAAATAATTTGTTACAGCGGCGTTAAAGTTAGGTTTATTTTTAAATATGTTTCATTAAAGAAAGTGTTAAAGATGTTATCTCTGTCAGATATTTAAATGTTGCTATAATACTTCAGCGACTCTCTTGCTTTGCCAATTATGACGAGTGTAATAAAACTGGACTATTTGACAGATTTAGACAGCTGGCTCATTCATGAGAAGTTCACATTTTTGTCACCCACGTTGAATAAGGAAAGATTAGATGCTAAGGTCAATTTACAAAAATGGTTGTCAGGACATTTTTTAATTGTAAAACTTTCTGTGATGGAATTCGGGGAAAAGACTAAAGGCAGAAAGCAACGGAGACAAAGAGCTGCTATTAACCTGCAGATGCTACCTCAGGGTTCATTTTAAGATTGGTCACACTGCTTAGCCAATGAAGTGTTCGTGTGACTATAAGGGACCACCCTTTTCTGGGGTGAGAGGGCAATTTGGTCTTCATGCTCATTTAATCCCAAGATGTCTTTCAATGGACTGTCAGTTGAATCTACATTGTGCAAAATTATGCATGCACTTTTTAATGCAGACCATTGTTTGCCGAGCACTTAACCAAGATTTCTCAACCAATTTCCATTTGGCATGAGGTCACTTGAAACCCAGGCGAACATATATGGAAGGCAAATGTAATTTTCTGTTTCTCTGAACTGAAATGCTTAAGACTGAGAAATGCAAGTACCAGTCATGCTGTACTTTCAGATTTAATACTTACAAAATGAAGACTGACAACTTTCTATAAAGAGCAATTCATTGCATGTCACTGCCGTAGAGAGGTAATTTTGCTACTACAGAGTGACATGGCTGAAGTCTATTAGATCTTATTTCCTAAAGTTTTGTAAATTGTTGATGTATGAGCAGCTGCTTGTAAAACCCATAGGATATGCACACTATGTGGCTACTCTGCTTTCTTTTCTTAGGCAAGATTTTATAAAAGCCAGGTAATGCAAAGGAAATCTGAGAGTCAGTAAATAAAGAGGGAAGCAACTGCCAATAATGCTGTAGAGCTGGAGATTAGAGGGCACCAGTCCTGAAGATACATCTCATTAGACTATTGATACTTTAGAAAACCTGACCATAGCATGTACACCGTATTTATTGATACATTTACAAACACTCATTTCTTTGTTAGCTCTTCAAGAAACATTTACATTTAGAACCACATTTGGCGTGAACTGTTTTACGTTTTGTGCAAGTGACATCTTACACAGCCAACATATGCTCAAGTGAGCTCTTGTCCAGTGACGTTCCATTCAGTGTGAAATTGGCAGCAGTCTACTTGTGTATAATCTGGCCTGTGCTGTTACAGTGAAAATCACTTTATGAACACTTTTAACATATGCTGGAATTTTATTGTGATTGGTTGGTGGTTGTTTTTTTCATCCGTCGTAAATGAATACAAGTTGACACAAGGATACATTTCTAGATTAGATCCACAACACATTAAAGAGCGTGTTTGCTCTCTCTTTCCCCGTCTTTCCAATTAAGTTGGTGAAAAATGTAACTTTAGTATTTTACAGGACATGGTAAAGCTGTCTCATCTAGGTGATGTCTATATTATAAAAATAAAATAAAATAATATAAATATGTAACATGAACCCAGTGCCCATCGTTAAATAAAATATATGATAAAAAGCAGACCTTCTAGGATGACTGGTTTTGAAATATGCGAATATAATTAAATTATTAAACACTTGAAACAATCTTGATATTAAGCTGCGATAACCAGATTTTTGCATCTATGCTAGATAAAGAAATGCGTAACATTCTGTAATAGAGTTACATTGGTGAAGGTGAGGGTTACAGTTTTACAATGAATTACCTAGATAGGAATGCATTAAGGAGTTCTGAAATATTGTCTCATGATGTAGTTCAGTTCACCTTAGAAACTGTCACAACTGGATTTTATTAAGTCCAGCAGTTTATACAGCAATGTTTGAAAACTGCTCTCTTACTGCTATAATCAGACACGAGATTTCTGGGATGTCAAAGAATCCGTTAAGACACCACCAAAGTCCTTTGACAAAAATGTCGTTTACAGTGGAATTTGTAAACTATTTCTCATGAAGAAATAAATATTAAAAAAATTCCACTATCTGTAAAACCGTATTTGTGATAGTGCGTGCATGTGTATGTGTGCAAGTATTGGATATTGGTATGTCTGTGGAGACATACAGAAATATTTACACACATACAAAGGATTTATCTGCACATTTGTGGATATTATACTTAAATTAATAAAGTAAATCAGATCACTGTTATTTGTTGCAGGATAACAGTCTTTTAAAAATGATAGGACTCAAAACAAATGCCCGTTGAAAGTGTAGTTTCCAAATAGTCCCAGAAACTATACGATATAGCTAGTTAGATCCAGCAAATAGGATGTCATGTCTAGGATCTGATCAAGAATACCTGCCCTTGTCACTCTTCGGATGTTTCTATCCACTTGTTCACACTGGGGGCCGAGATAGCCTTTTTTACATAAGCATTTATTAGGCCTTACACAGACACCTCCATGTCGACAGGCTGGGTCACATTTTGCTGCGGATAAAAAAAACAGTGATTTTCTAATTTGTTTAGAGCATCACAAAGTGAAAAGATACAGTATGCATTCAGTAAGAACTTTTCTAAACTTATAATAATAAAGCACATAAATTAAAAACAAAATAGAAAAGATGAAATATGAGAAGTTTTGAAACCGTAATTTTAAAAGTTTTAAAATATATGGGGGAGCAAGTAATTTTGTAGTTCTGAAAGGACATCACCCAAGACAGACTCAAATAGCTGATTTTTGAAATCGTCCAATTCCCGTATTCATGCTTGGTTTTGGAGTACAGAGAAGACCCGCCTCAAAAGACTTTAGGCTCCAAATATCAAATCATTTGAAAACAAGACGTAGAGCACATCTAGATCTCTAAACAGTGGTGGTCTACCTCATCCTATTCCTTTTGCTGGCAACCCAAAAACATCCAGAAGTTGGTGACACATTTTAACACCCGATGACCTCCAAGCTTGCAAGCACTGAACCTCAGGTGAACTCCTTTGTACCTGCAGAGTTCTGCGCTACATAATTTCCTTAGCAGAGCAGACTACCATTGACCACAGAGATGCACGCCTTTGGCTCTTGAATCACTTACACTTGGAATGAAATTGAATTCCCTTCAGAAAATGAAGAACCAGAGTATTTTTGACAGCTTTTATCAATTAGTTGAGCTTCAAAGTTTTGCCCTCTCTCTTTTTAGCAGATGCCTGACAATTTAACTATAGAGTTCTAGGTTAATCAGCTTGCTTAAGCTTTTCAAATATAAATGCTATTTTAATTTGCAGCCAGTGTTAGCTAAACTAATAATCAATAACTTCTGTTGTGGAAGTATTTTCTTCTGGGATAGAGTCACAGCACTGTGATAAATATAATGTGTCTTTCTTTTTGCAGACTGTTTAATGTTATCTATTACAATAAAGCTATAATATTGTTTTATGGAGATTTATGATATACAGGTTTCTTGATTTTGTTCATGAGTTTCCTTATTATCCTAGGAGGAAACTGATGCCTTGTAAGGTAATATTTCTTGTTTAAATTATAATTCCGGGAGCTTGCGGTCCAACCTAGAACATCTCTGTTAAGTGCTGCATGGGATACAGGGAAGAAAGGTCCTTAGTCTACAGATTTTCTGTAGCTTTCTTGTATATTGCATCTAGCAAATTATCTATTGTAGAGCTGTAATTTTTTAAACAAAATAGATTATTCATGTTCACACTGGAGACGTTATTTACTTTAAGTTCTACTGGGACAAGGGCTGTAGAATGGGCCTCATTCTGTAAATGTAGGAAATCTCTGACTGACAGGTGAGGACAACTGAAGTTGGGCTGTTTGGCCAGATTACCTAGTCCATTTCTCCAACCTGCTTTTGTTGGCCATCATGGCACTATGATGGTCAGCTCTTTAATCTTGCCAGTAAGATACATCACTAGCGATTTCAGTCATTTAATTTCATTCTGAATAAAGTCACTCCTGCTCACCACTAAAAACCCTGAGATTGCTGAAATTTACACTCCAGGCTCTAAGGATCTTGTAGCTGACACTGCTGTAGCAGGACCCTCATGAGCACCCTTCCAACCTGAATTATCCCTGGTCCATCGTGTGATCCTTGCTGTGTCTTATTCTGCGATTCTTTTTCCTCTTTTGAGTTCTACTGCCATGTAACCTTATCTCTTTGTGTAGGCATCTAGTCAAACTCACTGAGCAGATAAGCTCAGTCAGAAGAGTGTGCTCATGCTCTAGTAACAGCTTCTGGTACCCAAGCTTGCTCTGGCAGATCTGTATAGGCCAGAGTTATACAGCTCAAATATAACCACAGCCTCTATGAGACAGTGATAGCGCAGCTGTGGCACTCCAGGGTCAGTCATCTCACCTCTTTGGTGGCATACCCAACATCTCGTTTGATCACAGTCACCTTTTCAAGTCACTTTTCAAAGATATGTTACATCAACAAGACAGGACTTAATAAAAGTACTGTGATTAATAATGGATTACAATGACATTCTGAATATTAACTGCTTTGTGATAAGTTGTACATAGAGTTATCTTTAAAAAAAGTGGAGCCATTTTATTTTGTAGGATCAAAAGTAGGAATGCACCAAAACGGAAGTATTTGCATTCAATTAGCAAAGTGCAAAATATGCAATAGTGACCTGCAGGTCTGATTTATCATCTTTCCTGAAAAGGTGCTCCTGTTTGACGCTGAAAATTATAATACTGCAGGTAGAAGATGAATGTTATATTTATGCTATTAATTGTATTCTGTAATGACTCACATGACATTAGATGTTTTAACCATTGCACTCATCTAGAGACTTACCGTGCTCCAACAACTCTTGAGATTGGTATTTCTTTAATGCCGTCTTAGGAAAATTAATGGTCAATGGCATATATTGAAATTTTCTCTCAGCAAACAATTAAAAGCAAATTATGACATGTCACTGCTTTTTTCACTTGTTGCTATGAATCAATATACAAACCAGTTCTGCAGAACTCTCCTTCCCAGCCTTGATTACAGCAGCATTTTCCTGTAGGAGTGCAGTGCCCGTTCCGACAGTGCCTGGAGCATTCAGATGTCAGTATCTGTGCAGGCTGAGCTGTTCTTTTGCATTCTTCAGGGACTAAAGGCCTGTATAAAAGTATATGAACCAAGCAGATAGTTAAGATTTGGGGTCAAGAAGAAAAACTTTGGTTTTTTACTGAAGGCCTGCTTATCTTTTATGGTATTAGCAGTGGGAGAAATCTATGTTCTAAGAGGATTGCTTTTTTTCTCAAAAAAACCCCAGTAAAAATAGAAACAATATGCTACATTATAGAAAAATACAGTGTAATTTGCTATTCTTTCATGTAACTGCCATCAGAGACAATAGTCCTTGAGAATTCTTGAAGCTTGAACCTGTCAAATCCAGCTTGCTGAAAAGCTTTTCACAGGCAGCATATATCTCTACATAGCATTATTAGACATGCTAAATTCCACTGATTGTATGGCTTTTCTTCAGAGAGCATACATAGTCACATAGTTAGTCCAGAATCTCAGTGTCTATTTGGTTTTCTAGCTGACTTATATTTCTGGTTGTATGCTGGGAAGAGTAATCTGAACAGCGAGTTTTCAAACAGCATTCAGTTTGAAATGGTGGATTTTTTATTTCCATATTTTTGTGAAATCATATTTGGATTATGTATTCTGGATGCTTATTTAAGACTTCTTCCACTGTGAGGGTGACCAAGGACTGGCACAGGTTGCCCAGAGAGACTGTGGCATCTCTATCCGCGGAGACATTCAGAACCTCTCTGGACACAGTCCTGGGCAACTGGCTCGAGGTGGCCCTGCTTGAGAGGGGGGTTGGACCAGGTTGGACCTCCAGAGGTCCCTTCCAATCTCAGTCGTTCCGTGAAATGTGTGCATGAAGGAAATTCTAGTTCAGCTGACCTAAAGATTTCTGATGTTTTCTCATTGGGCTTCTTGGTGTCAGGTGTTACGTAATGCAATTTTTCTGTCAGCCCCTACAAAATATTTTGGATGTCCAGCAGACTTTTTTATTTACAAAAGTACAGCATTATCTTTCCTCCCAAAGAAGGAACTGCAGTGTTCCTTCTGTGCTGTTAAGTGTGTAAAACACTTCAGTGTTTTAACTTAAGCATGTCCTAACTGTTGATACAACTTCCAAAGCTTTACTTGATATTTATTTTTATTATCATTTATGTGTATGTCATCATGCTGACTAGTTCTTTTATTTCCTTTCTGAGTTCAGCAGCTAAAGACTGATAGGATCATCACAAGGTTACTTGTTTCTAGTGCAGGTACCCTGTTTTGTCTCTGTTGTGAGTATGATTGCACAGTAATAGGTTGAGAAAAGAATGTCAGGATCTCCCAAGAGATCTAAACAAATAATTGAATGGGAGCATAATGGCAAATTAATTTAATTAGTGACAAATAGAAAATAATTCATTCTCAAAGAAATAACCTGAACTACTGCCATACATTCCTAAGCTTGAAATTTGCATGACGAAGATTCTAATAGTTTTGTGGAGAGCTCAGTTAAACTTTGGCTAAGTGTCCAGCTAGAATCCAAACAAAACAAAATTATATGAAATAGAATAGAAAATAACATCGTTCATTATACTGGCATTACTACTAAACCCCAAGTTGTATGCAAATAGCTGGAATAGCAACTTACGCACAATTTACCCTAGCAAATATTAAAACCTTTGATACTCCTGTGTGGAGAAAAGGATAGTCTTTGGAGTCTGAGAAAGAAGAGGTATGATGGAGGTGCAGAAAACAATGGCAGAAAAAAGGAGGAGGAAAATGGGACATTCTTGTTTATCTCCCATTTCAACATCAGAAGAAATATCAAGGGAAAAAATTAAGGTAAAGAAAATAAAATTAAGTAGTTGAACTTATGGCTTCTAAGATATCAATGAAGCCCATGTTCTAGTAGGATTTTAAAAAGATATTTCTATGCACAATGGGGCCATTCAAAGTAATATTAGATAGGGTAAAAATAATTTATAAGAAAAATAAGCACTCATATGTAATGTCATAGAAGTCCCTCACTAGCTGACTGGGCTTACATTTCCCCCCTCATTTTGGCATGCAGCTTGTTAATGGTACATTACAGGGCTTCTTGCATTTTTCTTTGAAACAGAGTAACAAAGTACAGGCTCACTGGTTTGTTTCAATGTAGCACTTTCTCTGCTCAGTCTTAATTGCTACCATGATTCTTTAAACATCTATACAGAAGAACTGATTCCTCAAAGATGTTAAGGTCAGACAAAAAGTGTAGATGCATCTTTTAGTGTAGCACCAAGTTCTGATTTCAAAAGCACTTCTGAGAATCAGACTTAAGATCCTGTATTATTTAAGGACTTTGAAACATGTTTTGACACCTTTCGTGCAGCGTATTTGAAATCCTTTCAGTTTTTGTGTTTACGTATTTCCACAGCTGTCTTTTAAATATAATGTATTCTATTTTTTTTGACCTGTAAGGAATTCCAGTTCCGTAGTAATGACATATGATCTGGTTCAGAAAGTTCCTACACTTAAAAATTTCATGAAAGACTCATAGTCAATGCTGTTTTGGAAACAGTTTTACAAAATGATATGATTTTCAGTGGACACTTGTTAAGTTTTAAAGTAAAAAGATCCGTGCTCTAATTCCTACCTCTGGGGGGAAAAAATAAAATTGAGTTTATTTCTTTATAGCCAACTGCATAGGAGACAACATTCTTTCTTCATCTGTCTCTAAAGCCCATTTCTTTCAACTTACTTTAAATAGGAGTCTTCTCTTTCTCTTGCTAAAACACCAGTACTGTGTTTAGCAGGCAGCATAACCACAGGCTTTTGGAGCATCTCTTGGAAAAGCACTCCAGCTGTGTATCTTTAGCAAAGAATGACCTCATCAGTCAGAGAGAGATTTTATTTGTGAAGATAATGATTTATTTTATTAATAGATGTATTGATCTATGATAGTGCTGGAATATATGATTCTTTTAAAATTTGTATTTAATTAGAGAGGCAGAAATCATATTTTTTTGTATCCAGCCAAGTATGGCTGGGGGGGTTTTTTTTTTTAATATGATTTAAAGTTTTCTAGTGCTCTCAGTACTTGTGAATATAACCTTGCCTTTTGTTTTACCATCAATCAATAACTTGCACTCATCAGCCTCGGATAATATTTATTAATGGGGGGTGGAGTAGGAACAAAGATGGAAAAAATTTGGGTTGGCAGAGTGCCTTAGGAGAAGAGGAATACAAATGCAGCTGCAGCAGAATCCTTCTTATGTGTGAGAAGAATTACAAGTTTTCCTTAGTTATGCTATGGGGGAAGCCACACTTCTTTCTCAGGATTTGAATGCCCTTATGGTACCAACGTGCATCAAGAGAAAGTCTCTGCCCCACAATACTTACATTTTGCATTCTTAAGGCTTTAAAGGGGTGGAAATTTTCAGGCTCAGTGTAAGTTGAACTGAATCTCACAAAGATCAGTCTTGAAACTGACTGCTGGGACGTGATCTTTCCAGCACTTAGACAAGCCTGTGATTTTGTTTATATAACTAGTGCTTCGCTGTGTCTCTTGACATGGAAAATGGAGGGGAATAGATGGAGCCACACCGTGGGCTGGAGAGAATTTTTTTACTTGTCTCCCTCAATCTATAAAACTCTAAAGGGTACAGCTTGATTACTCTTACAGTAAGCACTATTTGGTCCACAGAAAGTCAGCCAAAAATGTAGCTGATAATGACTATTTATATGGCCTGTACAATTCTAGTTATCTTAAAGAGCTGTTCATGTATACAGTACAGTACAGTATATCTTGCTTGTTAAAACATGCTTTCATGAAACTGTGTAACAACTCTAAATGTATGGAACATGGAGGAAAAGTACTGGGGGCTGGGGCCCTCACTGGGTCCCTTCACTGTACGGTGTGTAAAATAATTTTTGCTGCATTATTGTTGCTGGTATAAGGAAGTAGCCTTTACTGTTAGTTTAGAGGCATAGAAAAGTCTGACATGCTTTAATAGATTAAATCACATCCTGGAACTGCTTAGGATTTCATGCTTTCTGTATTGTATCTCTTCACAGTTCCACTAAACGCAGAGAGTGATTTAGTTGCTATATGCTCTAGCCTGTAACTCAGACATGCATAAATCAATGCAAATGAAGGGTCAAATTCAGTAGTAATACAATGGTACTGAACAGAAAACAATTCCCCCATCGTGCCTTTGACGATACCAAAAACCTCTACTTTCCCACTAAAATGAGAAAAAAACCCCAGACAAAATTCCTAGATGTTCGAATTCGAAAAAAAGACACAGCCATAGAAATCCTGCTTGTGGTGCAGAATATATGGAAAAAATGTTATGCTTCAATTAACTACACACAAGATATTAGGTATTAGAATGCTGCTTAAGTATATCACCAAAATTTGTGCACTAGTTTATTTTTTCTTCCTTTATAAGGGAAAATGTCAAGAAAAAAATAATTTTGTTTCACTACTTGTCATAGACTAATTTTACTACTTGTCATAGAATAAATATAGCATCTCCTCAGGTACAGCTTTTAAAATTAAAAAGTATACCTTTAGCCCTGGGAGAGATGCCAAAAGCTCGTTACTTGTCTCCAGATTTACTACATGGGAATAATGTGGAAAAAACTCACGGCTTTTAAGATTTAAACTCAGCAGCATATCAAATTTATTCTTATATGGTATACTTGTTCATGACCTCTAGTCTTAAGAAATTCTGTCATGTTTGAAAACTAGTCCCTAGTGAAGCCTGTATCAATGTTAATAGCTAAGAGGTCAATGCAACTGCTAAACAGTTTGTATTACTGTCAGGGTGGTCATGAAAACAACACCTGCTGCATGAGCACTTGGCAGCTGGGTCAACAGGCACTGTGGGAATTTATCAATTTAGGGGGCCACTTGCATAACACTTTGACTGATGAATTGGGAAAGACTGGCTTACTGGGCTAAAGCTGCTCTATTATGTATGACTTTCTTTAGGATGGCAGAGGCTTCCTGCAGGCTCTAGAAAATAAGCAAAAGATAAACTGAGCTGTTTTTTCCTTATAAAGTGATAAAAAGTGAGAACTCCTTAATAGCCAATGCTAGAAAGACTAAAAAA